TTTTTTGCGGGCATTGCCCGCACCGCCCGCACCGCGGGCGCTTAGCTAGTCCTTATTTTGGGCGTCGTTCGACACTCCTCAGCGCGTCCTCGGGCTCCGAGGATGAATCCTCGGAGTTTTTTTTTTTTTTGAGGTGTCGTATCACCTGTTCTCGGAGAATTGCCACGAGGACGACTCGGAATCCTCGGGGCCCTACCGCGGCCAGTTTCATTAGATTACAGACGGCCGCGAAGGGCTTGTCCGGCCTCCGAATCGGGATATCCGTGTAGGAGTCGTGGTGGTCCAAAAGGCGAACGACGAGAATGCGTCACGGGCCCTGGAAAAGAAAATCGGCAAGGCGGGAACGGCCCCGTTCGAAATTCGAAATTTGAATTGTCTTCTTGTGTAGCGACGTGGTGGCGGCACACAGGCGGCTCGTCGAGGGGGAAGTCCACACCTCACAGGGTTTCGGTTGCCATCGCTTTGCGTATTTCTGCGCCGCCGCACTGCCACTCTGGTCGACGCGGCGAAACGCTCAAGTGTGGTCGACGCGGCAAAACGAAGACTTCCGATCGGCAGTTGCGCTCGCCACGTGGAGCCGCGCGGCGGTTCCGTACTTCAGCGGTGGTGGGCGGACGCTCCAACCGGGGCGGAACATCGTTCGGCAGGGCTGTCCTCCTCACCTGGTTGCAGGCATCTTCAATCGTGGTGGCAGAGGTGCACGCAGGTGGGTGGGTGTGGACGTTGTTTTTCGTGTTGGAAGGGCGTCATGGAGGGCTGCAATGGCGATGTCTGTGTTATGCTGTCGTCGAGGGAGAAGACAGCTGTCGCGGCGGCTGCGGTTGCCGTTGTCCGTCGTTTCCAATTGGAGAGGGCGGCCGGACGCATGAAGGCAGCGCTTTCGAGGCGGCGGCAGAGGCTTCTGCTGCAGAGGGKGTTGGACGCCCCGGACTGCATCTCCACTTCGGAGGCCGTGGTTCAGCTATGCGTTGCAATAGGGTGCGGTTTGCTTCCTCGGGCGACACCACGTTGGTGGATGAGGCGGAGAACTGGCGGGACTTGGGAGGATTTGCGGGTGTGCGATGACGCTACAGACGACTACTTCCGTGAAAAGCTCCGCATGTCCAGGAGAGTGTTCATGGAGATCAGCGAAGCCTGCGCGCCTCATTTGCAACGACAGGTGACGTTTTACAGGGAACCACTTCAGTCGGAGCAGATCGTCGTGTACACGCTCTATAGGTGGGCTACAGGAGAGTCATACGAGAACAACACATCATCCTTCGGCATAGGTAGGACTTCCGGAGTTCGAGTCGTGCGCGATGTGACAGGCGCTTTGTTGAGGGTGTACGGGGACAAGATATCGTGGCCGACTGGGSTGCGGAAACACGTCGTGCTACGGGCGTTTCTGGAGAAGGGCTTTCCCAACTGCCATGGCGCAGTTGACTGCACACACATCTACGTGGACAAACCGGCGAATGCGCCGAGCGAGAACTACTTCGACCGCAAGCACCATTTCTCCGTTATTGCGCAGGTGGTGGTGGACCTAGATCTGCGCGTGCTTGACGTGTTCGTTGGATATCCGGGGAGCTGCCACGACATTAGGGTGATCCAGCTGTCAAGTCTATCGAGGCGAGCGGAAGAGGGACAAATGTTTCAAGGGTCGCCTATCACGCTGCCGGGAGAGGTGAAGACGAACGAATACATCTTGGGCGACAACGGGTATCCTCCTTCTGAATGGGTAGTGGTGCCATATGGATGAATCAATCAGCACCCGGACGAGGAAAGGTTCGACACGAAACAGAAGGTCGCAAGAGGGGCTGTGGAGAGGGCGTTCGGGAGGTTGAAGGGGATGTGGAGGCTCTTCCTTCGGACGCACAAGACCAACCTCGACACTCTACCGCAGCAGTTCACGGCAGTCTGCATTCTCCACAACATCCTGCTCGAGGCCGGTATCGAGTTCGACGAGAATTTGTTGTGGGAGGCCGACGAGAACGGGGTGAGGCGTCGCGTGGACCTGGGGATTCATCGTCCCCCGCAGCCAGTGAACATGTTGACCTCGACGCACGCGGCTCACGCGCTCCGCAATGCGCTGGCGGAGCGAATGAAACACATGTGATCATGCCTGCCGCCTGCCTGTTTGTCCCCTTTAATTCGTGTTCCGCCATCGTCGATCGACAGCGCCTGCGTCTTCCGCTTACGAGCGCGATTGCTTCGGAGGGTTCGCCGTCGCGGACGGGTTGTTTTTAGGTGTTTTTTGTTGTAGTCGAGGGCAGACTTGTTGTCCGGTCCATCGATCATTGGCAGTGATGCGGGTTCATTGTTGTTTTGGTCGCCGCAACGGTAGTGTGTTTGTTTCCCGGCTCGTCATTGTTGTTGAAGCCGACGAAATGGTGTTCCCACGCAATTTTCGTGGAATCCGGGACGAGAAATAGGGAGGGGCGGGGGGGGGGGGGGGGGGGGGGGGGGGGCGGGAGGTGAGGGCCGGCACAAACAAATTCGTCAGCCCGCTATTTCGCAAGTGCTTTGAAGCGCAGTTTTCCTTGAACTTGAATGGTGTGTGCTTTCTTATGATGATTGTGTGAGGACGTGTTCGTGCGTCCAACTGCTGTCCTTCTTTCGAGCACACATGTTTTTTCTCGACTACATGAAATGCTTGTCATGCATGTCGTCTGCGCGTCTTTGCGTTTGGTAAATGCAGTCGGAAAAGCTTCGTTGTTCCACTAATGACTCACGTGCATTGAAAAAGAAATGAAAGAAAAATTCAGGAAAGATGTGTTTATTCGGCAACGGCGCGGTGACCATTTGTGGAACACAAGTGTAAAAAGTGCTCCGATCACAAATAAAATAATAATAAAAAAAAAAACAATAAAGCATTCACAAGACATGTACTACGACGCCATCTGCTGACGTCGGCACGCCATTTGCTGACGTCGGCACGGCATCTGTTGACGTCGCCACGCCGTTCGACCGGCCGCTGCCAGTCCTGCCACCTGCTGACGTCGCCACGTCGTTCGAGCTGCGCAGGACCGGCCAGCACACCTTTCCCCCAGCTCAACCACCAACACCCGCCAACACCCGTCCCGCCCGTGCGCCAACGTCTGCAGTCAAAGGCGACCATTTTGTCGTTTCGTCAACCCCTTCTCCAATCGGTCGCCGATCCGCACCCCGCCGCTGCGTTGTGGACGAACCGACGTGTCAACTGACATCATCTCCATCATCCTCCGTCGGGGGCCCGCTGCCGATCCAGCCGTGTTTTGCAGCTTCCGCTGCATTCTTCAGGGCTGCGTTGTGCCCGAACACCAACCCACAATCAGACCATTCCGGAATGCAATGCGGGTAATCTCCGAGTCCCAGCGTCAGGTGAGCCTTCCCTATACGATCCAAGACGAGGTTGGCGGTGTCGACGATGTGTCGCCCCCAGTTGAAGATGTAGGACCCCGCCGCTATCATTGTGGGTTTGGCGACCATGGATGCGTAGAACCACGCCCCGTAGTGCGATCGGTCGTCTTGACCACCCATGCGCATGATCCACATGCACGCGCTCAACAACGCTCGAAGACAATTCGCAAGCCGAGACAACCTCTCCTATTTCACGCGGCCGCCGGCCGCCCATTGTCCACACCAGATTTCATCTGTCCAGCAGTCCGCCACGCGAAGAACTGTCGCCTCCTGCCGCGCCACCATGTCGTCGTCTTCGGGCCGGTCCACAATCTTCACCCCCGTGAACCACAGAGGAACGTCCATCTTCATCGCCCGCGTGTGGTAGACCAGGGCAGGGGAAACCACTTTCGACCATTCGTATCCCTGCCAAACTGCTCGTGCGATGTCTGTAGCGAAGTCCACGCTAATGTACAACTCTGCACGAGCGAAGCCAGCCAACCTCGACGATGACTTGAAGATCCAACCGTGGATGGTGCGCAACACTTGTTTTTCCACGTTGCGCGCTCTGCGCAAAGCGGGTTCGTGCTTCGCAGGGTCCTCGATCTTGAAGCGCGACACATCATTCGGCTGCATTACGAGCATCGCAGGCGGTTCAGCTCCTTCGTCTCCGTTAGCGATGGCGACGAAGTAGTCCGCGCAGTCGCCTACCGCCTCCCTCAATGGTTTCCCCGGGCCCTGACCCCAAAAAGCGTCGCAATCAACCCACAACTTCGGCCTCTCCTCCACATCGTCCTCCTTTGCCGCTCCCTTCAACCTCGTTACAAGTGGACAGTCATCGTTGTCATCGCCCTCCCGCTTTCCATCTCTTCTCCCATCGTCGCGACGGACGTCATCGACCCTCGCCTCCTCCGCACCTTCGGCGACTGCGCTTCTACTGCTGTGATCCGCCGCCGCCGTACGAGTGTCGCTCGCCGTCGCGTCGCCCTTTTGCGAGGACGGTGCTTTGCCTCCACCTGAAGCCCCCGCCTGTTGCAGGGGGAGTGGCTGACGTGGATGACCCTGGCCCCCCACCGCCGGAAGTTGCCTCGAAATGCGCGCCTTCGTGATGACAACCCCTGCCGCCTTCGGGGTCCTTGGCAACGTCCTGGCGCCACCAACAACGAGGCTCTATTTGATAGCGAACAACTGTTCCCTCGACACCCCATCCCGCCCAAAACCCAATCGCATCGCTCCTGTCGTCCCTTGCGGATCCACCATCACCACTTCCTCTGCCTGGAAGTCGTCATTGTGTTCGGAGCTAGCCTCATCGACGCGCTGCCTTTTCGACTTTGGCACGTGGCCTCTGCCTTTTTGGGTTTCCCCCCCATCCCCTACTCCGCTATTTTTCCTGCCCTTCCCTGATGCGTTCCTCGGTGCCATCTCGTCCGCAAATTGGGAACGACGACCACGTGGACAAAGGAGGACGTCGACGAAGGACCACGTGGACGGTGGACACGTGGAGGTCGACGACGGGCACGTGACCGAAGGAGCACGTGGATGATGCGCAGGAGGGGGCATTGGCCACGGAGCCGCGACAATGATGGCGACGTTTGAGGAGGCACAAGTGCTTGATGCACATGAAGGGGCACTGCCAGCGGAGCCGAAAGCGGAAGCGTGAAGCAGCGAAGCGGATGTGCAGGTTTGCGACGATGAGTCAGTGCACAGACAGTGCCGTTGGAGCCGCGGGAAATGAATCAATGCCATACGGAGTGTCGCCCGTAGTCTCCTTTTGTACATACCGCGCTCTCGCAGCACACCATGGACACACCTCGCCGTCCAGAAGAGCCAGCCCCTTCGCCGATCACGCATGGACCATTTTCCCCACCGGCTGCTGCTGATCCCTCGCATGGCCAACAATGCATGCGGGCGCGAGAGAGGACCCTGAGGGAGGTCCAAAGAGCCCGCCACATATCCTTCGACCGCCACCCCCAAAAACTCGAGGCACCCCTGTCCGCCAT